CTTATATATATATATATATATGAATTTGTAGAAGTTCTTAAATTCATAAACATATAACTGATTATTGTATAATCTTAATGCATTACAAACGTTTATTCAGTTTGAAATAGAGCAGTTTTCAACATAGAATCCAAAAACTAATTTTTTCAAATAAATAAAATTGGTGTTCAATTTTTCCATTTCTAGAATTTGTTTGATTGTTAATTTTTCTTTTAAATAACTGTGTTATTAATGTAAAATATCTATTATCCAAAATAATAACTAATATCTATTATAAATTGTGAATTCATACAAAATAAATATTTACTTCTTAATATAGAATTTGTTTAATTATTTTTAACTTCGTTATCGCAGTTTACATTGGATTGGATGAGTTGATGAACATCCCAAAAACAATAAAAACAATAACAATGATAAGAAGAAGCAAAGACACATGTAAAATAAATATATATTCTTATACTATAAATTTGAATCTACACCCTTAAATGAAACCATTTTAAAGAATATTTCTCACTCTCGTTAAGTTACATATCTTGTTCTAGCCTTATATCGAACTTTTGATTTGATTTTGGTTAAAACCTTTATTTGGTCTTTTATAATATTTTTTTGTTTCAATTTAGTCTCACTTTAATTTTTGATTTTAATTTGGTCCCCAATAATTTAAATTATTGCAATTTGGTACTTCCGTCCAAACGATTTAAATGGAGTTAATTGTTGGCCACGTGGATGTCAGGTAGATGCCACGTAGATGGATGCCAATTTTTTTAATACACCTGGAACCCGAACGGCCCGTTTTGAAACCAGAATGGCCCGTTCTGGTTGCACTCTTGGTGTGTAAATTTTGTACCTAGAATGGGCCGTTCCAGATGCCAAATTTACACACCAATAATGTAATCAGAACGGGCCGTTCTAATTCCAGAATGGTCATTGTCTACAGTTCACGGTTGTGAATCATGCAAGAAAAAAGACCCAAGGTACAAAGCATTTCAAACACTAGATTTGGTAATATTGTCAATGGAGATTGATAACTTCAATTGCTAAACATTTGGGCTATATAGTGTATCATTAAGGACGATGCAGTGTATCACCAAGGACAATGGTAGCAGGTTTTATTTCATTGTTAGTCAAACTGAAGTGAACCACTTACTACCAAATTGACACTATACAGTCAAGGATGAAACGAAACGATGTTTCCCCTTGAAGTCATTGACGATGTACCCCAATAATAACAACATGTTCTTGAGGAGGTACAACCTGAATTTTTGTGGTTTAGGGTTTCCCTTCAGCGTTACCCATATGATTTCCTTTCTCAGTAATTTCTTTGAACTTTTTTAGTATATGTTATGTTCTGAATTTTTGTTTTTAGTTTCTGAACCATATTTCTGTCTTTGAATTTATGATATGTTATGAATTTTTATTTTCAATTTTTGAATCACAGTGCGGCATTTTGGTCAACGTATGCATGAAGTTGGCGTTCTGGAACGGGCCGTTCTGAATCCAGAACGACTCGTTCTAAAACTAGAATGGTCTGTTCTGGTTTCAGAACAGCCCGTTTTGATGCACTCATGGTGTGTTAAATTTTCATTTGGAACGACCCGTTCCAATTACAAAATTAACACATAACATGTGCATGCAGAACGGGATGTTCTGGTTTCAGAACAGGCCGTTCTGGTTCCAGGTGTATTCATGAAATTTGGCGTCCATCTACGTGGCATCTACGTGGCATCCACCTGGCATCCACGTGGCCAACAGTTAACTTCGTTTAAATCATTTGGACAAAAGTCCCAAATTGCAATAATTTAAATTATTGGGGATCAAATTTAAACAAAAAATTAAAGTGGGACTAAATTGAAACAAAAAAATATTATCAAGGACCAAATAAGGGTTTTAACCTTTGTTTTATTTATTTAAAAATAATGCTTAATTTTAAGTTGAAATTTGATTTGATTTAAAAATATACCAAAAAAATTCTTTCTCGATCAACTCAAATAAGTCTCCTTTTTATTATCCTTTTATTTGTATACTTGAATTTTATTTTTAATATATAGCTTATATCTTTCAATCTAGCTACCTTTGTTATCTTTAATTCTAAATTGAATTTCCATTTTTTTAAATATTAATAATCAAAAGAATAATCATCTATCATAATATAAATTGTTTATTATTAATTTGAAATAAATTATATGTTCAAAATTATTTATATATTAATTATGAATTTAAATTAAAATATATTTTTATATATTAAAAAATAAATGAACTAACAATAATTTTATTATTTAAATTTTGTCTTTAAGTAAGTTAATAATATTTTTTATTTTATAAAACATTAGTTCTAATTGAAATTGTATTGATTTTTTATGACTATCATCAACTTAACCTAAGAAGATATTTGATACACGAAATATTTTTATTTTCTTGAGAATCTTAATTTTTTATGTTTAATAGATTTTTTTTTTTAAAAATCTGAGGAGATATAATTTTTTGGAAACTATTTTTATCTCACTTTCTCATAAAAACATTTTCATGTGGAAATGAGAATCCAACTTTTTTGAGTTAGGAAAAAAGTTTTATGTATATAAAAATACCATAAAATCTTTTTTAAAACAAAAAAAAACATAAATATAATTGAGATTCATTTTTTCAAAGTATCTCTCTCCTTTTATTTTACTATTACATTTTTCTTCTTTAACAACATTTACCTACTTATATTTATTAAAATATTACTCTCAATTGAGTAAATAGGTTATTTTGTAACATTTTTTTTATAAAAAATGTTACTATAGATAGAGTAACATTTTTATCTCAATATTATTTTTTTAATTATTTTTAAAATTAAAAGTCTCACATCGAATAAAAAAAATGTCACATAAAGAGCACACATCTTCAATATCTAATTATTTTCCAAAATTAAAGTCTCATATCGAATAAATGAAGATGTATAAAGTATCACTTTGATAACATTTAAAAAATGTCTCCTAATTAAGTAAAATGTTATTAAAGTCTTTAACAATATAGACTATATACACATTTGATAATATGTTGTAAAAGTAAAATAATAACATTTATACACAATAGGTAAAATTTTTCAAATGTTGCAAAAAGTTATTTTTGTTGTATCTTTCTTGTATCTTATTATTTCTTGGTTTTGTCAATTTTAATAATATTATTTATAAAGTTTATTTTGTTTTTATAGTTTAAGATATTTGTTAACATTTTTTTTACATTTTTCTGAATGAAATGAAACAATATATTTTTGTCTTTCTTAATTATAAGATAACATTTTTCTTCGTTTATTTCTTTTATTAAATTTTATATTTAAATAATTTTAACTGTAAGTTCTCAAGTTTTTAAAATGGTTTAATGTTGTATTTGTAATAAGATTTAACTAAATAAATATATCTTATGAAATTATTTTAATAAAGGATATTTTTGTAAAAATATTTATATATTCAAAAATATACTATTGTAGTCGAACATGAAAATATTTTATTCCCAATAATCTTATATGAATATTTTTAGAAATATTTATGAGTAACAAAATAAATTTTAACTATTCTCAAAAATCATGATTCTTATCATAATTCCTGGGTATAAAAAAAAATACTAAACACTCCCTAAGTATGAAGGTGAGAGAAATTTTAGAATTAAAAAAGGAAACTTTGATGTGGGGACGTATAAAGTTGATAAAATTAAAAAACTCATCTTGATTACCATACTAAATTAACTAATAGTGAAAATTGTATAAATATGCTACTACTAAATAATAATTTTTTAGGTGTAAAACAAAGACTTGGTTGGTTTTATATATATATATTGGATTGACCCCCTCTCTATATATATATATATATATATAAGGAATCCTACATTATATTTAAGGTTAAATTTATGTAAAATAATCGTCATCATCCATATATGGTTGGGGACCATGGCTTCCTCATGCTCCCACTTGTCAAGGGAGTTTGGCTATATATGCAATTTTTTTAATTAATGCTTCGTTAACATCAGACGCTTTTACCTGCAGAGATGTGAACTTAGGACTAAAAATTGACATGTAAATATATATATATAATAAAAATAAAAAGACCTGCATGAGCATCTAACACTACCTTACCTTCTCAGTCTCAGGAATCAAATCAAATTCATCTTCTCGCTCCACATACTCCTCGTTTTCCTCAAGCTCTTTGAAGTCAGGAGCAAATGCACTCCAGTTCTCGGTGTAATCTTTGGCCCAGATATAAACTATGCCATTCAAAGAAACAGATACAACAATAGGACGTACAGGATGCCATGCTAAATCAATAAGGGCTTCCTTAGGCCCTTCAAGGATTTTAACAAGATGCCCAACTCTATCCCAAATGTAAATCTTGTGTTCTCCTTTACTGGCAGAACCACCAACAACCCACTCACCATCACCACTGAAGCAGGGTGCTTTCCAGTGCACCTTCGTGATCGAATCTTGAAACTCCCGGAATAAAGTTAGGCATTTTGATCCTACAGCCTTCAACTTCTCAACACCATTCTGATCATTGAGGCTCTCATTCAGGTCATCAAGTGCTCTAACTTCATCCTTCAAAGGTAGAAGATTTTCATAGATCCTGATTATTCGATCATTTGAGTTTGTTAGAAGATACTGTCCATTCCCGCTGAACACAATGTTCTTCACTACAGAACCACCAGGGATAGGAACCATGGCACGCACCTCACCACCATCTATATGGTTAATAACAAGAATTTCCCCTTTTGAGTTTCCCACATAAACCAGGTTGCCATGCTTACTAAAACATGCAGCAGTTGGTGAGAAGGATGTAATTCCATCAGTGCACCTGTTACGTGAGCCAGGGGCTGGTCCATTATCGGATACCTCCAAGGTAGAAACTTTAAGCGAAGTTGTATTTCCTGTGTTCAAGTCAATGATCATTGGAGCACATGAGAGAGGACATGCCAAGCAAAGAGATGGTTTTGAGGAACCCGGATGAAGACGAGCTTGTAGAGGGGTTTGTTGTAAAACTATTCTTGTTATCCTCTTACCACTCATAACATCCCAGAGTGACAATGACTTGTCAGCAGCAGATACAAGAATTCGATTACCACACTTTGACCAGCAGACACTGGTTATTGGAGACGAACATTCATCATCTCGTAGCTCTTTAGCAATGCCCCGGGTTTCAGAAAGATTGTTAGCTGCTGCCAGTTTTTTTTTTCTTTTTCTTTTTACGTGTTGCATTTTCGGTGGTTTTCCATTTTCCATTTTTTTTTGTTCTTTTTGGTTTGTGAACCCTTTCTTCAACTGTTTTCAACTTTAGTGGATTCATACCATCAAATTATTCAATATTCTTATTCCTATTGATCCAAACATTTTAGTTTCTCCAATCCTTCCTTCCTGTTATATATATTATGATTCCCAACTTTACAATTGTTTGGCAAGTAATTTAATTTTGGGCATGTCCATTTCAAGTGAATACATTTTTTTTCTCCTTTTCTTTCAGTGCGCCTTTTTAGACTTTAGAGGAGGCCCAACAATGTATAAAGGTTCTCCACTAGAAAACCTAGAAAATGGAAAGAGATGTGACTTTAGTTTAGAGAATGTTTATTCGCTTACTAAGAATTTTCTAGCAAATATCTTTTACTAAATTAACTAGCTAGCCTAGGCTCACCAAACATTGATTGACATTTTTTGTTTCATCAATTTTGTGGTTCATCACTTTTGTAATATCTTTGCAACTACACACTTGTTAAATTTGGTTAGAATCTGTGAGACCCTCACTTCCGTTTTCCTTTTCTCCCCTAACCTTCATCACTTTCACTCACTCTCCACTCTCACTCATTCTTTTTTCTCTAGCTGAAGAGGTGATTCCTTGAGGTTCATTTTCTCAACCGCAAGCTGTGTGGAGTTAGCTGGAACCGGAGACCCTTTTCTCTTCTCCTCCTACGTTGTTCAAGCTCCTTCTTCTCCATTCTCCGCGATCCCGAAGCTCGGATTCTTCACCGAGGTAAGGGAAGTTAGGATTTTGTGCTGGTTGTTGTTGAGTGAGTTAGAAACTCACGGATGCGGTGATTCTTGAGGAATTGATGGCTGTGTTTGAAAGATTTTTGTTTTCGGGGTTTCGGGGTTTGATGAAAAATTTGGGGTTTTTGGTGATTTATGGTTGCATGTTGGAAACGTTTTGGTTTTCATGTTGTTGGATGAAATGTGGTTATTTGGATGGTTTTCATGTGTTGGGAATTCTCTGTTTGCAGGTTATTGTTCAAAAATGGAGGAGGGACTGTGTTTCTGTCACAAACGGCTGAGCCGTTTTGAACGGCTGAGCCCTTTAGAGGTTGCGTGACAGGGGAGAGTTTCTGGAGCAAAACGGCTGAGCCATTTTAAAGTGTTGAACGCTTTTGAAACGGCTGAGCCATTTTGAAGGGCTGAGCCCTTTGGGGGCAAAGAGCGAGGAGAATCCCTGGAGGTAAAGCTTCGAGCGCTTTGGAGGCGCTGAGCGCTTTTGTGCTTTCAGAATTGGACTTTGTAGTCTTCATAAAAGTAGTATCCTTGGATGTTAGCTTTCCAATGGCGCTGGAATCACTCAAAAAGGAGTTTTAGAACTCTAGATATGGCTGTTTTAGTGAAGAGGGGTCGAGCTGCTAGCTTTGTTTATAGCTGTTGCGGTTTTTATCATTTTTAACATGGTAGATGAAGGAATTAGGACTTGGTGTCTTCATGAGAGTTTTAGGAAATCTTCTTATCTTTCATATGAGATAAGGATGAGTATGGTAGGAGTAGTATAACTCCTGATGCTCTGTTTTCTGTGAAGGTTGCCATTTCACATTTAGTGATTTGGTTAAGTTGAAGGTTGTTTTAGGTGCTTAGGTTGATTGGTGTTGTTTGAGTGGGTAATTTGACAAGATAGATGAGTTGTAAACAAGGTGGATGAGCCATATTATGTGTAGAATATGTTGTATGTTGTATATGTTGTTAATGATGTAATGCTACGCTGTAATAGATATATATATATTGTCGTGCTGAGCTGAGCTGTCATGAATGATTTTCATGTTGAATTAAAATAATGTTGTACTATAGATTGTTGAGCTGAGTTGTGAGTAGTAAGTTGTGTTGTATACTACCTAGCTGTGTTGGGATGCTGATATTGATGTGTTGCGCTGAGCGCGGCCCTTGTCACGCTGGGCGTGAGAGTCCTTGGGAGTCTCTGCCTTGTGGGCGCTGGGTGCAATTGGTATTGCGTTAGGCGCGAGTGAGCCTTGGGCTCTCTGGCTGGGTCCCACCGGGCGCGGGCATGCTTGTGCTGGGCGCGTTGGCCCCCTGGTACTCTCTGGTTGTACCGCGCTGGGCGCAACCACGAGGGCACCGGGCACGGAGATGAAATTTTACTATATGCTGGTTAATGTTGTTTTATGCTGAGTTGAGTTGAAATTAATGGATGAATATGATGTGATGACTAGTAGATAATGATGTTGATGATGTTGAGTTGTATTAGATGAATATTGTTGTAAGATGTGTTGATGTGTTGTAAGACGATGTGTTGTGCTGTAAAGTTGTGTTGGGTTGTATGCTGGCTGAGATGTTGTAGGTCGTAAGGGCTGAGTTGTTGTAGGCCGTAACCCCTGAGTTGTTGTAGGCCGTAAGGCTGAGCTATTGATCACTGAGACTAGAGGAGTTGTTTTCGATATTTACCTCATCCCATTGTGTAGATGTAGCGGCTGTGGTGCTCTTCGAGCCCAATTTGTTGAAAACCCTCCCTGAAAAGCTGACCCTTGGAGTGGTAACTTGCTGTTCTCCTCTAGATTCTTAGTGGTCCCGTGTGTGGGCAAGGTCGAGGCACACGTGTACAAATTGACCACGGTATAGGGGTCAGGTCGAGCTATACCGATTACAAGCGACCAATACTAACTGATATGCGTGACGACGCATTATATGCTATTTGCTGATTTTGCTGTACAACCGATGAGATGTATGCTGACGAAGTGTTGATAGTTGCAGTTGCTCATATTACTTAAAATCTTGCTATATGTTGTTCTTTTTATACTAGCTTACCCTTTGTTGTTTCCATGTGGTTGGACTGCGATAATCATACTATGTATGGGAGCAGAGCAGGGATAGGTGGGTGGCTAGTGGTGAGTCTGCAGCTGGCAGGCGGAGCTGACTTTAGTAGATGTTTTGTTGTTTCAGCTACTTGGTGTAGTAGCTTGGTTGTATTTTTGTACATTTTGAATCTAGTCAGATTTGGATCATGTATATATGTATATTCTAGACACTATATGTATGCACTTGTTCCTTTCTGTCCAGTTTTCAGGTGTACTGTGTTGTGTGTAGTGACCAGCCAGGTCGTTACAGAATCGATAACTTCAATTTTGAAGTAAATAGGGATGATATTAAAAATGAGGTTTAATTGTATTTTTGTACTCTCAAACTTCTATATTGTTGCATCTTTTGCATCCATATTTTGAGAATGTTGTGAATTGTACTCTTCCATCAATATTGTATTAAAAATAAATGAATTATTATGTTTAATTTCATTTTGTGCTTCAAACTTTTATTTTGTCAAAAATTTTGTACCCACATAATGTTTTTGATGAATCTTACTCCCAAATTTTAAAAATATAATGTTGTGAATTATAACCCTCAACAGATTATACTTTATATGATTATAAACAATTATTTTAAATTTATATTAATATTCATATAAGATTATTATATAATTCATTTTAAAAAAATTTAGACTCAATAGATCGACTTATTTGAATAAGTAAAATTATTATCATTATATCAAATTTTTTAATATAATCATACGTATATAAAATAAATGTTTATTATTATAATTATTACTATCAAATTTTAGACCTCACATATTTTTACTTCTAATATTAACATAATAAATTTACTAATGTATTCATATCAATTGTAAAAAAGTATATATATATATATATATATATATATATATATATATATATATAAAAGACTAATGCTACCATGATTCACTTTAACAAGTGGTTTAATATATATATATATATATATAGATCAAAGACTAGTCATGTTTACATTATTGTGATTTTTACTAATCTGACGAATTTTCACATAATAAAGATTAATCACGAATTTTTCACTAAATTAATTATCGAGACAATATGTGAGTGTATAGTGTCTAACCATTATATCTACCTATTGAGTTATTATGTATTAATATTTGTGATATTTAAATTATTATACTAAATTATATAATATGTTTAAGTTATCTTATATGAATATTAATACAAATTCAAATTAGTTGTTTATAAATTTTAAATAAAAAAGTTGGTGAAAAAAAAATCAAATTTGCTGAGTTTTAAAAATGAAGGAACTTAATTGACTAAAAACGTGAGAAATTAAATTGAACACCCCCTAAATTAAAGATATCCAAAGTGCCATTAAATATAAAAATAAAATATGTGTTTTTAAGACGTTAATTGTGTGAATGAGAAAAAAAAATCCATATTTCAGTTAAAATAAAAAGTTTCAAGCAAAATCACTATCAGTAGTAATAAACGTGTATTTTGAACAACTGTTAAGACTGACACGGTTGTACACAAATTATTTTATTAGAAGACAAAATTACTGTGAATTGAATACACAAAGCATGTGTTTGATTGAGTTTGAAAAGTGTCTATTATTATGGGAATGAAATATATTGGTAATTTTAAAAATAGAGATTAGTTCTTATATATAAATCAACAATTATCTTTTGTGGTACTGTTTTTAAGAGAAAAAACTTATGAGAAGATTTTTTTTAAAAAATTTCATATCTTTTTTAATTAGCACAATTATTTATAAATTAAAATTTAATGTATTTAAAATAAATCATCAATAAACATAAATAATATTATATTTTGATATAAACTATTAAATTTAAAATAGAGATGAATCAAATTACCTTAATGTAATTTTTATAATTATTATACCGTTTAATAATTTTATATAAAATATAACTTTTTTTTTATTTTGATGAATTGAAAATTTATTTTATCTAAATGTTATATAAAAATTATATTAATCTAAAATCATTTGATTTATCATTTATATAAATCAAAATTGATATAATATATATTTTTTAAAATATATAAAAATATAAATTATTTGATCATTTTATTATTACTTAATTTTAACAAAATTTAAATTATGCATTCAAGATAATAATTTAATAGTTGAATCAACAAAATTTTATTTTTTATATAAAGTTATTGAACAATATAATAATCAATAAAAAAATATTGGTGTAATTTGATATTTCCACATTTAAAATATAATTTATATATTTAGAAATGAGATGGATCAAATTAGATTGATGTAACTTTTATCTATTATTATACTAGATAATAATTTTTTAATTCTATAATATTTTCTTAAAACACAGTTAGATTAAAACTTTATATTTCACTTAGATATATTGATTAAAAGTTAATAAATACTTAATTTATATAAATTAAAATTGATGTATATATTAAACATTTAACCCATACATTATATATATTAAATACTAGTTATTTATCTGCTAATTATGTTGTTAATTGGAAAATGTCTGATCATGATTTGAACAAATTTTTTTTTATTACTTTTACCTAAATCATCCATTAAGTGTTCCTAATTGAGCTAAACCCATCTAATGAAAACATTAAGAATTACCACAATGCTTTCATTCTTTTCCTTTTACTAAGTAATTACATTTATATATACACTTAAATCATTAGTGAACCATTAAAGTTGGTTTTATAGAAATTGGAATAATACACACAAATTCGTGTAACAGGTGAAGCTACAGAAAATCTGGAAGGAACTCAAAGCTTAACTCCCATATCCACAAACAAGGACATTCCCCACTTAGACAAAGCATCCACAACAGCATTTGCTTCCCTTCCCTATAAATGTGTCTGAGATTATGTTTCTTAAATGTACATAAGAGAGCAATGATGTCCATAACAAGAGCATTACTAGGGTGATGGGTTTGACAATGAAATGGCCATCTTCATCTCTAATAAACCCTCAGCTGCAGCATAGTTAGATTAGAGAGAAAAAGTCTCATCACAATTTAATTTTAGGGTCTAGTATTGGGGAGGTGATGAATGAATGACATGGTGTTCTTATCAAAATGTGAATTTTTTTTTTTCCTTGAGTATCCAAGATCAATAACAGTGACTAATTGTAGAGGCACCTCAAAAGGTGGGATAACTAGTGACTAATCGTAAAAGTACCTTAAAGGGTGAGATAGTTAATCTCAAGATTTAACGTAATTGTATACACAAAGCAACATTCAAACTTTTGATGCGCTGAACCAGAAGTTTATTAAAATGTGAATTAATAAAACACAATTCAAGTATTTATTTATTATTCATGGCAGATCTATATACACATTAAAAAAATGTTCCCTTATTTTGTATTGTATATATTCAGAAATGCCGCCATTGCACCTTACCTAATCTTTTTTATTTCCATCGCCCAACAATTGATGTTGACAACTAAAAAGTCTGAATCTATCTCTAACCAAGTTGAAAATAAATTAATCATGAATATTTGATTATACATAATGAGTAATAGTTAGCTTTAATAGGATTATTTAGGTTTACTTGCATATTAGTATTAAATTATAAATTTTATATATTATCGATAACTTTTCACGTTATTTAATAATATATTGTCACAGCATTTAATGAATTTAACATCCAATACAATGATTGCAATAATTAAAACAATATATCAAGTATAATACATCAAGTTATTAACAATAATTAAAAATGCTAAATTTAAATAAAAAAATTATACATCAAGTATAATACAACAGAAGATTTTAAAATATAAATAAATACCAACAAGTTATTAACACTAAAAATGTCTAGAAAAAAAAGGTTGCAAATTACAAACCTTTAATGATAAATAAATTATTATTTTCGTCCCATTTTAGATCTCATACTAATACTTTAACTTTTGTATAATGTATAAATTATATGTTTATTATATTTAAATTTTTTATAAATAAATATTTTTAAATATATAAATTATATTTTAGATTTATAATAAATAATTTATATTATAATATAAATTAAATTAATTTATTAATATTTTTTAAAAAGTAAAAAATTTTAAATAAATTTAATTCATAAATAATTATGATATACATATAAATAAAATGACATCCAAAATTTTTCCATCTATATGTAATCAAGAAAAATGTATGGAATATTTACTATATATATATATATATATATATATA